CCTTGTAGAATCTATGTCATTTTGGCAAGGATCTGCCACATAAAGGACTTACTGTATTCTGGGAGTTATGACCAGGAGAACATACTTGGAGAATAGACTTGAGAGAAAAAAGCTTCTGGAAGATAGTCTCTCGACTCACAGAATAAAAGAATAATTTATCGTCTCAGTCTAAGACATATGAACATATATTTTTCAATTTCAGTGTCTCATTAATTAAAGAGGGATTTAAAGTGAAAAACAAAACAAAAATATTATAGAATAGTTACATTCCACAGCTCTTCTTTGTTAGAAAGATTCTAAGCGGTCATGGGTGTGAAAGTTGGTATCATCTCACCCAGGAAAAAGCATAGTTTAAGAGTCATATCCTACAAGAAGAACAACATGATTAATGAGGAGCTTTATTTTTTCCGCAAACCAGTTGATGAGGCCGGGTATGCGTGGCATGTGCCGTATTAAATTCTCCTCTTTAAGAGCTGGTGAAGTCTTGTTTGTAGTACTAATAATCACATAAAATATTTACTAGGTTATATTTTGATGCTTCTCTCTTGTGTTTCAAATTTCTGGCGTTCATTTTAGGGTTTGCATGAGACTTGATTCTGGAGGGGTTCTCAGGCCCAAGGAGAGGTCCCCAGATTGTTCCCTGGGCAGTAGAGGAGAGGGTGCCCAAACTGACCTTGGTCCATAACCATACTGATGAATATGTTGCATATTACCATAGAACCTTCATCTGGCGATGGATGGAGATAGAGACAGAGGCACACATTGGAACTCTGGACTTAACTCCCTAGGTCCAAATGAGAAGCAGATGGAGGGAGAACGTGAGCAAGGAAGGCAGGATCAGAGGGAACCCTCATCCGACGATGGATGGAGATAGAGACGGAGACCCACATTGGAGCACTGGACTGAGTCCCCAAGGTCCAAATGAGGAGCAGAAGGAGGGAGAACATGAAAAAGGATGTCAGGACAGCGAGGAGTGCGTTCACCCACTAATATATGGCTATTGATTGAATGAGAGCTCACCAAGGCCAGCTGGACTGGGACTGAATGAGCGTGTGATCAAACCGGATTCTCTGAATGTGGCTGCCATGGGGGCTGACTGAGAAGCCATTGACAATGGCACTGGGTCTTGTTTCGTCTGCATGTACTGGCTTTTTGGGATCCTAGTCTGTTTGGATGCTCACCTTCCTAGACCTGGAGGGAGGGGGGAGGAAGGGGAATGGGAGGGTATTGGGAGGAAACCCTGACTGCTCTTAGGACTGGAGAGGGAGGAGGAGAGGGAGTGGAGGGAATGGGAGGGTATTGGGAGGAGAGGAGAAAGTCGAAAATTTTTATAAATAAATAAATAAGTAAATTTTTAAAAATCTAATTAAGGAAACATTAAAAAAACAAATTTCTGGCATTAAAACTGAAGACTAAATATTATATATATTTTGATGATAGACATTAACATGCAACAGTTGCCCATGAGATAGTGTTGAAAGGGGAAATGTACTTGCTTTAAGGTTAAATTTATTGCTTGTTAATTTTAATACAATTTGAATTGATTGTATTAAAGCACACAACTTGATTCACAGATATGCATGCATGCATGCATGCATGCATGCAGAACTCCCCACACACACACAGCACACACACACTTCTAAAAGTGCAGAGAGAAAATATCTTACTTATATTAAAAACAGTAAGTTTTCTATGAACCAAAATGCAAAGGCAACAACCATTATTTATATAGTTTATATATTTAATGGTAGGTTAATAGTCCTATGGATTTTTCATTAAACTTCTTCCCATGGATTTTTCAGATCATAAACTATAATTATTAAAGAAGTAAACATAAAATCTAAGAACACCATGTCCTCGTGGTATTTAGAAATTCAGATTAATACAAATTTCCATGGATAGATTTTAAGACAAGATTAATCTGTCATGTGTGATTATGATACTTTTCCGTCAACACATCAAATCCATTCAACAGCTCTTCTTTGTTCCTGTCCGCATTGCTAGCCATTTCAAATGAAATATCCTGCATCTACCTATATTCAAAAGAATGGAACTTTTGTGTACAGTTTTATCTAATCTTCCTTTGAACTTTGGTTGTCATTTCCTAATTTTAGTGGAGGAAGGCAAAAGATAAAAGCAACCAAAAGACAATTATTTGATTATTAGTTTCATTGTAATTAATTCGAATTATTTGTTAAATTCCTTCTATAGTCAAGATTCTACACTAAACTTAATTTTGGGTCAAGGGCTGAGGCTTTCCTAGAGTCCAACAATTTCTTTTCACTTCTTTTTCTCAAGAAGAGTCTCATTTGAGTGCAAAGACGGAATGAGAAATAGGGGAGAAGATGCCGTGAATTTCTGAGACACATAGGATTCAAAATAAATTGTAAGGTCAAGACAGACCAAGACAGTGTGAAAGCAGAGAAAACAATGTCATAGAGTCAAGAACATGCAGCACTTCTGGAAAGCAGTAACTGGCTAATGTGACTAAGGGAATGACCTGTGCTGTGCCTGAATGGGAACAGAGGCAACAAACATCATCCATAGCATACTAGATATCAAGGTAAAGGGCTATCACTCATGGAGCCTGGAAGTTCTGCTGACATATCAAGAGCTCTTCTAGGATAGCTAATAGGTGAATAGTATGTCACATGGGTTCAAATTAATCAAGATGTAAGGGGGAACAAAGGGAAGAGGCCACGGAAATAACTAGGTTGCGATGCTTAGAGGCTGGCTTAGCATACTCGTGTGGCTACTGACAAAAGGAAGATTGCAAGGGGACTTGTAAGGCAGATTCCACAGCAAAGCAAGATGAAGGAAGTCTACATGATGCTGTTACTGACTAGGAACTGGCAATTTTATAATGAAGAACAAGAAATACATGATCACTTGTATTTCAGGGAAAAATCAGTTGACAGTATATAGAACCTGGGGTGCCATACCATACCACCAAAAATGCTCAAGGAGACCTTATGCAGGGCAAATTGAAGTTTACACAAAGTGCAGAAGATACTGAATAAAGCCATTAGCTCGAGTTTCCAATGAAACAAAGGAGATAATGGGATGTGGAGATGACTTTACATTTGATTACTAAAAGCAGATTGAAAGAAGCAGAAGATTTTCTGAATGATTCGAGGAACCAAAATTAATTTCTAATGTAACTGAGGGGCTTGCTAATCTGGCATTTGAAGTGGCTTATGATTTTTGAACTGGATATAAGACGAGAATTTCTGCAGAGGATGGAGATTATTGTAGGTAGCTGAAGATACCAGTAAAGACTGTAAACTGGAGAGGCACAGCTTGTGAGGGAAAGAAGAAGACACCATCGTACCTAGCACTCAGCATGATTGCAGAGGAGTGAACAGGGGTATGAGGCAAGGAAGGATCCTATTTCAGACTATACCAGACAACCCAGGACGATCGCTTTATGTAAGTCAAATCTACTAATTTTATGGCCAGGCAACTGGTCAAATTAAGTGCTGAAAGGCTGAAGTCTATAAAAAGTAGCTCAATAAAAACGTGTATGCAGTATTATCTGTTGGCACACACCTTTCATCCTAGCACTTGAGAGGCAGAGGCACACAGGCATCTGAATCAAGGCTTTCCTGGTTGCCTGGTTCATACAGTAATTTCCAGGCCAAGCAGAGCTACACAGTTAGACCATGGCTCAACAAATAAAAAGATAAAAAGGAAGGATATCAAAACATGTTTCTAAAGCAAATCCTCAGTCTTCATTTTTTTGAGATTTAGCACTAAAAACCTACAAGTCTTGCATTTTTGACAAATTAGAGACTTTAATGTTGTGTTATGCGTGGTGATTTTTTATAAGAATATATCTTATGTTTTTCTTTTATGAATATATTTATTGTATATTATGTCAATGACTTCAAATACTAGCTTTTTATGGTAGTACTAATAGAAGTTTTCAGAAGGGTAGGGGTAAATATGTATGTCGCTTACTTAATTTATTAAAAGACTAGACTGTTTCTACAAGAAACGTATTATCTTCAAGATGTTCAAATCATTTTAATTTTCTATCCAACATCCTTTCCATTGTTGCCATTAAGATGCCAGATACTCCTGGTCTGGTATGGAATGCAGTGTGGATCATTCCTACATACATAAGCTTTCATTTGTCTATGGGATCTTTTTAGAACTATTCACACCTGGATACAGATCAGAGCATTGGTGTCATTAATGATTGATTCCATTGACGACTGAGTGTTTCTCTTGATAGCAGAGTTGCATTTTGCAAGAAATACAAAAATCAACTGAGCAGGAGTCCATTTTAGTCTACAGCAGAAAAGGACTTAATCTGAAAGTACACAATGACCTTACGTTAACTATGCTGTTTCACCGGGCTTTGTCTTAACGGTAAGGCAACACTCAAGTGGGTTAGTACTTAGCTATATTATGGAGGTAAATGATGTTGCTCTAAGGTCTTCCATGACAAGGTCAAAAGGCTTTGCAGAGCTACTGAGTTTCTTATTTTTCCATTTGAAATGATCCTCTATGGGCCTTATACTATCAGGCAAGAGTTCTCAATGTTAAATATGCTTTCCCTGTTTCAAATAAAAAGTCCTCATACAGATGTTACACTATGCCTCCTTTGCATGCTATACTTAATATGCTTTCATTATACTTAATGTACTTTTAATAGTCTCCTATGGCAAGGTGGTGATATTAAATGTGGGAATAAAATATCCATGATACCACCTTGAATTTGCGATAATGCTTTTCATCCGCGGGCTCAAAGTGCTTCACACATACGCTCATTTGGTCTTTCCTTGAGTTTTAATGTCAGCATCTTAATGGCAAGGATACTGAGGTGTAGCGTTTCTATGGGAATTGAGGTCACTGCCAGAGTCCACATTACACACAGTCAAGGTGTTTTGAAGAAGCCATGAACATTCTTTCCTTCCAGCTACCTCCAAGGTGTCTGGTGTCTGGGAGGGGAGCAAATTTCACTGGTTTTGTCTCTCAGGCTCTATCTCTCTTACCTGGACACCATCCGATGCAGGGATGTAACTTGCCCTTTTAAACGTATCTGTCACATTTCTGAGGATTTCCACAGACACTAGAAGATCACCTGCATAGAAATTCTTCCTCTGGGTTAAATCCAGCAGCGTCTTGGTGACCTGGGACATTCCATCACCTGCCAGCATCCGCTGCCCCTTCGCAAGGTGCTCTTTAATCTGTTATGATCGAAAGAACAGAAAGCACATCAGAATCTTCATGACTATTTCTCTGTATATCTTCACTAAGTAACTAATTTTAAATTGTAAACTTTAAAATAGGCTTGTGATATTTAGAAGGATTTAGAAACAGTAAATTCTGTGCTACATCTCTAGGCCATTCAGCCTCTGGGTCGTTGCCTTCCAGGCAGCATCATGGGTTGGGATCACTCTTGAGGCATTGGTCTCAGACTGCATCTATTTATCAAGACCACGTCTCACTATATGAGCAGTCAAAGGCTGTCATTTATGACCCCCTTGTCTCTAGCTGCCAAGAGCTGTGATTCTAGGTATGAGTCATAATCTCTTGCTTTGATCCTTTTATTTCTCTGGTTTGTATTTAAGGAGGAAACCTGTTTTTTGAGCACACTATAAAGAGGCCACTACACTGCAACAAAGGTACACTACATTGGCTGGCCACTGCCAGAATCTCTGTGTCACCCTTATGCCAGCACATCTGATAGGCTGGACAGATGATAGGTCAAAAGGTATGTGGCTGGGTTGGTGTCACAATTCCTCCACTTGTAATCTTGCCTGGACATAGAAAGTGGCCATGGGTCAGGCTATGTATTCATTTTCCTAGGAATCTTAGCTGGTGTCATCATTGTAGATTCCTGGAAGTTTCCCTTGTACGGTGATTCTACCTGACCCTGAAATGACACCCTTTCCAGTAGGTTTTTTTCAGTTCTCTCTCCCACGCTACCCCTACATGATCTTTCATGTTCTCATTCCCATCCACCAGCCCCATCCATTCCCAGTTCACCTAAGAAATCTCTTCTATTTCTCCTTCCCAGGGAGATCTGAGTGTCCCCCTTGAGCCCTCGCTGCTCCCTAGCTTCTCTGAGGCTATGGATTATAGCATGGTTATCCTTTACTTTACAGCTAATAGAAACTGTGGTCAGAACGTAAAATAAATAAATAAGCTAATTAATTAATTAATTGAAAAGGACACTAAATTTTATATAACCACAGTTAATGGGTTAACTCTACAGTATACAAAATCTAATGTGAACATTGTGTATCTCCTTCACAACTGACAGTCTTGCATTTTCAACTAGAATTCTCAATAAATTAATTGGCAAAATGTAGTTTAAGTATAAAAATTTTTAAAAATACGTTTATATTTAACAAGTCTGGGAAGTTATTTAGGGGGCAAGATCAGAAATGAGAAATTGTAAGTGTTGGTGGTGCAGGATTTTAATCCCAACAGAGGGAGGTGGATCTCTGTGAAGTCGAGGCCAGCCTGGTCTGAAAACCAAGTTCCAGGACAGCCAGGGCTATGCAGGTTCGAGATTTGATCCCAAGCACATCAGATATTTCCAGATAAAAGGGAACAAATAAATGCACATGCCTAAAATCCTACCAAATGTGAGGGTGAGACAGGATTGTAAAGGCTAGCATGGGTTACATACTGAGTTCCAGGCAAGCCCAGGTTATGTAATGACCACACTTAAACTTAAGAACACAGACTTGTCACAGTCTTAACATCTAAGTTTAGGAAAAAATATGTAAATATTTGAAGCTTATTATAACATAATAGAAAATTAGGCAACTTTAGGTTTTTATATAAAGAAAAATGGTAACCAAATAAAAATAATAAAAGACAAGGCAAAATCCTCTCAAAAAGGTTTTTCCAAGATACATAATTTCAATTAGTGTGATGGCCAAGACTTGACTGTCAGTTCTCACGTGTTGCTGATCTTACAGTACAAGACAAGAGAAGCTGTAGGAATGGCAAGTTATGAGAGGGAGAGAGAATCAATACCCAAGGAAGGCTAACTTTGACCATCACCATGCCTAACCTGTAATTAAAGTGGTTTTATAATGACAAAATAATCAAGAAAGCAAAGCATGCACCAGAGAAATATTCAAGAAGGAATATTAAATTGTAATAGTCACGATTATCCCCTTTTAGTTAAGAAAATATGTCATCTGGATCTGAGTTACATCATTGAGGAAGTTTCTTTTTTTTAGCTCCATCCATTTATATTCAAATTTCAAGCTGTCATTTTGTTTTTTTTAACCGCTGAGTAGTATTCCATTGTGTAAATGTACCACAGTTTCTTTATCCATTCTTCAGTTGAGGGACATCTAGGTTCTTCCCAGGTTTTGGCTTTTATGGATAATGCTGCTGTGAACATAGCTGAGCAAATGTCCTTGTGGTACGAGTGTTCATCTTTTGGTATATGCCCAAGAGTAGTATTCCTAGGTCCTGAAGTAGATTGATTTCCAACTTTCTGCGAAACTGCCATACTAATTTCCAAAGTGACTGTACTGTACAAACTTTTACTCCTACCAGCAATGGAGGAGTGTTCCCTTTACTCTACATCCTCTCCAGCATAAGCTATCACTGGTGTTTTTTATCTTAATCATTCTGACTGGTATAAGAGGATATCTCAGAGTTGCTTTGATTTGCATTTCCCAGATGGCTAAGGATGTAAAACAATTCCTTAAGTGCCTTTTGGCCATTTGAGATTCTTCTGTTGAGAATTCTTTGTTTAGTTCTGTACCCTATTTTTGATTATATTATTTGGTAATTTGATGTTAGTCATAAGTGAATATTAGATGTAAAGCAAAGGATATCCAGCCTACAGTCCATGATCCCAGAGAAGCTTGGTAAGAAGGAGAACCCTAAGAGAGACCTACATGGATCCCCTTGGGATGGGGAAACAGACAAGACCTCCTGAGAAAATTAGGAGGGGCAGGGAGAAGGGAGGATGGAAAGGAAGGGGAAGGGGAGAAGATGAGAGAAGAAGGGAACATGAAGGAATGGGATACTCAAGAAGGGGAGAGAACAGTGAGGGAGAAAAAAAGAAAGAGATATCTTGATTGGGGGAGCCATTAAAGGGCCATCGAGAAACATAGCACTAGAGAAAATCCCAGGAATTCTCAAGGATGGCCCCAGTTAAGACTCTAAGCAACAGTGGAGAGAACACCTTAATTGGCCTTGCCCAGTAATCAGACTGATGACTACCTTAATTGTCATCATAGAACCTTCAACCAGCAACTGATGGAAGCAGCTACAGATATCTACAGTAAAGCACTGGGCTGAGCTACCTGAGACCTGCCTAAGAGAGGGCGGATAAATAATATGACAAAGGAAGCAAGACCATAATGGTGATACCCACAGAAACAGCTGACCTGAGCTAGTGAGAACTCACTCTGGACTGATAGCTGGTGAGCCTGCATAGGACCAAATAAGGCCCACTGAATGTGGGGGACAGTTGTGAGGTTTGGACAGTTTGTGGGACCACTGGCAGTGGATTTGTTCCTAGTGCTTGAACTGGTATCTAGAAGATTATTCTCTCTGGAAGGAAGTAAATGGGATACAGCCTGGAGATGTCATGAGGTCAGTTTTGTACTGACATGTGCAATTCAGAGAGGCAAAGGACTCAGATTTCTCTTCTCCTGGAGCAGGAACAGCAGTAGTTACCACTCTGAATGAGCTCTGACTCCTTTCATCTAGTTCTTCACAGTCTATGCCTGTGTCTGAGACAGATATTTATGTCACAGATCTTACGGGTGTTTCTCTTCACAGAATTAACTAGAACCTTTAAGAAGAAAACATTCAGGCATGATTTCTGTTTCCAGTAGTTACGGTTATGGGAGGCACTGGAGAGACCATCCAATCAGAGCAAGGAAAGCCAGTCTTTCTCAATCTGTGTCAGCAACACATCTAGCCTGAGTTAGTATTAAATCAGCCTCATTGCCATCTGACTTCTGCTTAGCAGGCTATGTCGAATGAGTTGCACTCAGTCCAGTTCTTAGCAAACTGTTGCTCAGATCATTCTAGCTCTCACAACTGGCAGTAATTAGCATCCTCCCAGATAACGTTACTAAAACGTACCCAGGGCAAATACCTTGCAATAATTTTACATGCTGGTGCAGTCTATGCATAGCATTGACAGAGAGCATAAAGAGTATTCAGGGAAGACACATTTAACAGCTTGCACTTCACCAGGATTCACTTTTCAATTCCTCTTTTCTCTCTGGATAAGGTATACTGGCCCAGAACTTTATGCATTTAAAATCCAGTTCAGCAATTGTTTCTTCGTCTGTTACCCACTCTGGTTTGGGTGTAAATAAGATGTTTCATACCTCATGGTGATATTTTGAGAGGTACTGGAAGTTTCAGGAGATAGAGTTCAAGCAAATGTGGTTTTAGAAATGTAAGTGGGAATGTGTTCGGGGAATTTATTTTCACTGGCTCATTCCTGTCTATATGTCTTGACCTTTTATTACTCCGATGTGAGCAGATTTGCTGCATCACATGGTTCCTGTCATAATCAGAATGTCCATCTCGCAGTAACAGTAGCACCAGCCAACCATGGAGAGAAACTTCCTTCTTGATGATGCCTCTTCAGGTATTTGCCCCAGCACTGAGAAGCCTGATTACATAATAGTAAATGTTCTGCTTAAATCTTTCACATTATCTTCCACTATTTAACCATATTCTATTTTTCCTCTCTTCTCTTGTTTCAGACAAATAGCTTTTCTGTCATATATGCATCTCAAACTCTCCTGATTCCTACATGTGCTGGCTTTCCAGTCATGGGATTTAGCTAATACAATGAATAATTATTGTAAACATGGGGAATGTTCTCATTCTTCGGGGCCCCAACTCATGGTTTGCAAAGTATCTTGTAGACCAGTTGCAGATATATATATATAGTATATAGTACTAGCAGAGAAGTCCTTGGGCAGTTTGATGGTCTTGTTTCAACTCATGCTGATTAGCATGTGATTTCTATTGGCCCTTAGTTCAGGCTAGGAATTTCAGTTTCTGGAGTTATTTCTTTATCTCCCTCCCCCAATTTTCTGAGTCACACAGTTCACAGAAATGCCCTAGGTATGAGAGTTCACATAGTTTTCTTATCTGTGAAGCCAGAGTAGCAACAGGGTGTCTGATTGTTGCAGGAGCCTTTGTAGGGTCCCTTTTCTTCTGTGAAGGTGGTCCTGAA